AAAATGCAATTGGACCATTTAAGTAAAAAAAAAATTACAATTATGTTCTCGAACTATCCAAAATAATACAATTCAACAAAATTTGACCTGTTTCTCCGATTTTTGTTATCGCCTGCGGTCATCCTATTAAAATATTACATTTTAAAAAATTATTTTAATACTTTTAAATAAAGTAATAGAAAACAAAAACAAAACCAACAAAAAATTGCTTCATTCATTGTCGGTTTACTTGCCGTTTGTCTTTAGAATTCGTTCCTCTAGTTTCATAATTTTTGAACTCTATCATTTTTAGCTCTCTCTTCTCCCTCTCTCAAGTAATGAATTCTTTCTGTTGTAAACGGATAGCCCTCGGCCCCAAAATGCTTGACGAGTCTAATGCCTTCACCACTTGAAACCTTGCCTGTTTCATCCAGTATCACTAGATGTGGAATTGCCCTCACTTTGAATGTCTGCTTGAGAGCCATGGCATTTTCTCAAATGAAATTAAAGTATGTAGCTGTGAAATGATATGATGCTTCCTTCACCTTTGTCAGATGAGATGAAAGAAAATCTCCTTTGGGTAAAAGGGCTTCATATGTTTCAACAACAAAATTTTGTTGTAAATTGCTGGCTGGCATGGACCACGCCATGAACCAGAAAAATATAATCCTACAACGTAACTGACCATATATAACCTACAGGCAAACACGAAACCACTAGATTTGTCATGCTACAAAAACACTAAGAACCTGTTTTCACTAGATAATATAACATATAACAAAAACGAAGAAACTAAAATTAAACCTGAGATTCAGTTAAAAGAAACCAGAATTAAACAACTCCATCTCAAGTATATATACTCTATACCTTATTCATACATGCCATTTACAATGTTGATGAAAACAGTAAAGCATAGATAGATATATACCAACCTGTTGGTATGAGGTAATCTCTATCCTTTTTTGAGAGCGAGACATAGCCATAATTATATTGTGTAGATTTGACATGATTTGGACAAAATTGTACATGCATGTAGATTCAAAACCCTAACTAAACAATTTTGTGAAGTACTAATGCCTCTGTGAGGTAAGAAATCTGCAAAGCTGATCGATATAAGCCAAAGAGCCAGCCATTTCATTTTCAGCCTCAACTTCTCCTTTAAACAAAATCAAAATAGAAAAGCTAGCTTAGCTTAGGTAAGAGATCGAAATTAAGTCGTTTAATTTAACTATCAAGTACCAAGTTTTTCATACTTAAAGCACAATTAACATCGTTACAGGATTAACACTAATTACACACATACATGCATAAGCAAACACAACAAAATATATACTAAAATCTGTGAAACAAAAACACTCGTAATCAACTAAACGCATCAAAATCTTTCCAGTAATCTGTTAAACCAACCCTTTCCAGTAATAAAGCGCAAGAGAATCATGAGCAATTCATAGTCGCCAGGTAGAAACCGATGACAGAAACTCTTCTCCATATTTAGGTAAGAGCTGTGTGAATCTTCAGGTAGGGTTTTGTAATTAGTAATTTTGTATGATCGAGTACCACTTTCCTAAATATTTATATTTGTCTTAATTCTATTTTTTATCAGTTTACATTTTTCTTAATTCTATTTTTTATCAGTTTACACTTTATAGGGTGTTTGGTTGGAGTGAATTTAAATTCATTTTCTACTTAATCCCCAGATAATTCCAAAGGCCTTAAAATTCCTATGTTTGGTTGGAAGGAATTGCAATTCCATGGAATTGCAATTCCCCCACTTTCATGGAATTAAAATCTTATGTCCCCCTGTGATTTTAATTCCTGGGATTTTAGGGAAAAAAAAAGAAGCTAGCTAGTAATGAGACAAAATTACCCCTCCCTTTTTTAACCTAAATTTAATACCACAACAACAATGGACATTTTGGACTTTATACTACATATTCCATTTCAATTCCCATGTATACCAAACATTGGAATTAAAATTCCCAGTAATTCTATTCCTGTAAACCAAACACTAGAATTTAAATTCTCACTTTATTCCCAGTAATTTTCTCCCACATAATTGTAATTTCTTTACCACGTAATTCCCACTTTCAACCAAATGCCCTGTTAGTGTTTAGGATACACTTTACTGGGATTGGGCTTGGATAATAAATCTATTTTAAAAAATAAAAATTAATGTATAAAAATATATGTTTATAAACTTAAATTCATAAAAATAATATTATATGATTATTAATAAAACAAACAAATTAAGGTTCAAAAAAACAATACTCAATGTTCATAAAAATGATGTGAATTGATCTAATAGCACTTAAATATATTATTCTTCTTTTCTTTATTTATTTTTGTTTAAACAAAATCAATGTATGAAAAATATATGTATTTTTATTACTTGTAACTAGTATTTTCACCCGTGCGATGCACAGAATGAATTTGTTGTAATATATTAATAATATTTGAGTCGATGTTTAACTATTTAAATTAGAACATAAAATATTATACATTGCGATTACACGAATTTTAATAACTATACAATTAATTTGTTAATTGTCATATTAATTATTAGATAATGACCATGTTTGATTATTGACCAATTTGTCAAAATTTTAACAAATCCGTCATTTTAACGTTTTATTTTAATCAAAACACTAAAAATAATTATTTAATAACTCTACAATTTCCTCCAAACTGCTAAAAATAAAAACAACACTTATACATTTTGGGGAAAGATTAAGATTAATCTTTTCCCAAAACCCCCTAATAAATAAATTAATTTAAAAACAAAATAAAATAAGAAGCCATTAAGACTTTTTATATAAGAGCATTTTGACTTATCAATACTTGCCCACATGCATTATAGGCAAGCAATTATTTTTGGAGGAGGAGCATTGCTCCTCTTATATAGAGGAGTTCAAGAGCTCCTTTTTTCAAACATTTTTTTATGTGGGATCAAAATAATCCCACCCGATTTACAAAGGACAGCCTGTGTGGCTCCCCTTTGTTTTTTGTTTTTTGTTTTTTTTTTTTAAATATTTTATTTTGTCTATAATTTTGTTTTGGTTATTATTATATTATTATTAATATCATTATTATTGTAATTTTATTTTATTGTTGCATAATAATAATAATAATAATAATAATAATAATAATAATAATAATAATAATAATAATAATATAAATTTCCTTTTAGCTATACACTTATTACTACATAATTGTAATTATACTATTATTATGGTAATGATTAGCTTGATTACAATAATAATTATTAGTCAATTACAATATTATTTGTGTAATTATTAGCTTAATTACCATAATAATTATTAGATTCATATAGTAATAATTTGGGAGATATAAAAATGTTTTTTTATTTAATATATAAAAATTAAAATGTTGAAGTATACAATTTTACTCATTTTCTTGTTCATTTTTCAAAAAATGAACCAAAAACGCAAAGACGTTTTCTGAAAAATGAATCAAATACACAAACACAACTTTCTGATGTGCAGCCAAATATTGAAAAGAAAAATATTTTTTGAAAAATAACTCATTTTCCAAAAATTATTTTCCTACTTTCCAAACGAACTTTAATATCCATACAATTAATTTGTTAATTTCCATAATAATTATTAGATAATAGCCTTGTCCGATTATTGATAAATTATATTTTTTGTTTGGCTCAAAGTTATAAAAAAGTTTTTTTTTTATTTGGTTCATTTTATGAAAAATTGAACATATAATAATAATAATAATAATAATAATAATAATAATAATAATAATAATAATAATAATAAGAAGAAGAAGAAGAAGAAGAAGAAGAAGAAGAAGAAGAAGAAGAAGAAGAAGAAGAAGAAGAACAACAACAACAACAACAACAACAACAACAACAACAATAATAATAATAATAATAATAATAATAATAATAATAATAAGTGGTGGGTTGTGGTGGTATGGCGGTGATGTTAATGATGATAATAATAATCTATAAACTAGCTTAAAGATAGATGAATATTTTTCTTTGATTTTATTTTCTTTAAGTAGCCAAACACGAGAAAATTTGAAAAATGACTTTCGGAAGTCATTTTTATGGTTTGCAAATGTACCCTTAAATCAAAATGTAATATTTAGGAGTTAAACATTTACTTATGATAAAAAGTTTAATTTTAATTAGAGATAAATTGATTGATGGTTATTTATGAGAGAAAGTGTAATATTTATAAGGATAAATATGATACTTTTGTTTAAAAATTTAATACTTTTAATTTTTAAATCAAAATGTTACATTAGTGTTGAATATTTATTTATGAAAAAAAGTTATAATGATTGAGGAAATGTGTATAATTTACAAAAAAATTGATTCGTCTCACAAATAAGAATCCATGAAATGGTCTCATCAAGCATTTTGCATTGGCGAAATTATATTATATATTTTGGCAATGATTCAATTTTATTTTTATTTTTTATAAAAAGGGATCAATTTCATCAACCATAAAAATTTCATTATTAATAATTTATACATGGAATTAAAATTTTTTTTATGTGCTTAAATGTCTCAACTCTCGAGCTAGATTATTCATGCAAAAACTTGAATAATTTGGTCTATAGAATGAAAAGAGAAATAAAATAGGAATGTTCTTCAATTTTATGATATATACAAACACGCATCTATGTATTATGAATAAAACACGCTCTTCAAGTACTAGTGTACAACTCAACTAGTCGATCAATTTAAAATAAGTTTATAAGTTTTGCTTTACTAGTTGTCACAAAGAAATTATGATACATCCTATGATTTATCTCAAAAGCGATGAGAGACTTTGAAAAAGAAATATAATATTTTGATATTGTACATTGAAGAGAGTATGTGTAATAGAAAATACCATGATGATTTGGAATGTGTGAATCATCACACATTATTGTGAATGATAATATTAGCGAATGGTACTGAACGAATCTTTCTCTCTCTAAGTATTTTCTTCTCTACGTCGACGCTGGTTTGGTAAGTTTCCGTTGAGGGGTTTCTTTCCATGGATGTCGCGGCTGTAACGCTGCCGGCGACCTCCTCTCCGGAGGTGGAAGGGGAGGCTGGAAAGTCGCAACCTACACACAAGCGGGTTAAAATCCTCAAGAGGTCGTTTGCGGAAGCTGCGGTGGACTCGGCGCTGATGGGAGATGATCCCATGTCTGAGAAAGTGGACGAGGATTGGCTGGAAGATGGATCAGTGATAGAACTGGAGGAGACTAAAAATGTCATCTATGAAGGGGTTCCCGTCGTTAAAATTCCCAAAGAGCTTCGTGCAGAACTGGAGAGGCCTTGGCACAAGGCTTTGATCCTCAAATTTCTGGGAAAGCCGCCGGCTTTCATGCTACTGCAGCAACGCCTTCTCCGACTTTGGAACAGGTCGGGTAAGGTTGAGTTACTGGATGTGGGCATGGGCTTCTATATGGCGAGGTTTGATCTAGCTTCTGACTATAGACATGTTTTGTTGGATGGCCCGTGGAAACTTTTCGACTGCTACATCATCCCCCAACGATGGAGGAGGAACTTCGATCCTCAAACTGCGAAATTGGAGAGCATGGTGGTGTGGGTTCGGATGCTAGGCCTGCCGGTTGAACTGTTCCGCGAAGACGTGATAAAAAAGATCCTTGAGCCAGTGGGGAAGACCATCAAGGTGGATAAAACCACGGCGGGGATCGAAAGGGTGAGATTTGCGAGGGCTGCTGTGGAGATCGACCTTCGCAAACCTTTAGGCTCTATGGTAGTGGTTGATGAAGTGTTCCAGAAGGTTTCGTTCGAAGGGCTTCACACCATCTGCTTTGGATGAGGAGAGGTCGGGCACGTCTCGACAAACTGCAACAAAACGATGGCTCCAGATCACACAGCTTCCGACCCCCATCCTGATGCAGGGATGCAGGTAGAAGATGTTGGTCAGGAAGAAGGCCCAAAAATCATCCAAGTTCCTGAAAAATATGAAACTTGGATGATAGTCTCAAACAAACACTCAAGAGCCAATGAAAAGGGAAGGAACAAGGGGTCCAAGCCAATCAGAAATATGTAGGCCCCTAAACCTTCTCATGCCGACGGTAATAAGCCGGCGGCAAAACACCCGCCCCAGACAGAACAAGATGGTGGAAGGAAGAAGGATAAAGGCAAAAAAGCCGTGGCTGCAGTGACGGTGAGTGCCCCCTCTCCCTCTTTCTCTAATCCTAATCTGTTCTCTGTTCTACAGGATGTTGGTGAACTGGATGATACTCCAATCTTTGTGGAAGAAGGAAACAAGAAAAAGAAGAAACCTGGAAAAACTAAACAAACTGGGAAAAATAACACAACTCCTAAATCTTCGGGCAATCGGAAACAGACTGCGGGTTCTGCCAGAATTACGCCGAGGGATGTGGCTCCTAGCCACGAAAAGGATGAGCGTGTCTTCATCTTTGGTTCTATGACTGGGCGAGAGCTGGTATTTCAGCCGGCAGATGGAATAAGAGTGGATCAAAATCCGAGCACTACGCGCAAGGAGGGCGGTGTCCAAACTTCCTTACCCCTCAACTCTACCCAATGATAGTGGTTTCTTGGAACTGTCGGGGTGTTGGGAATCGGGAAACTATTCATCACACCAAATCCATTCTTTCAGATAGGGAGGTGGGGGCCATTTGTTTCTTGGAGACCAAAACCAACAAAGCCGACAAACTTCTTAAAGTACTGTGTAATTTGGGTTTCGATAATTCGTTTATGGTTAATGCGCTTGGTTTTGCAGGTGGACTTTTGGAAAAAAAGCATTCTTGACTTAGAGGTGGTAAGAAGCAACTCTCAGACCATTCACTGTAAGGTGACAGAGGGTGGGGTGGCCTATCTGAATCTGTCTTTCGCGTATGTTAGGCCCAACATAAGGGCCAAAGAAATGTTTTGGAAGGACTGCAAGGACTTCGGGAACTCTCGGTCTGGGCCGTGGGTCATGCTCGGGGACTTCAATGACATCGCCAATCTCAATGAACATTGGGGGAACGAGCAAGTGAATATTAATAACTTATCGAGGTTCTGTAATGCCTACGAAGAGTGTGGCCTCATGGAGGTTAGTTCGACGGGACCTAATTTTACCTGGTTGCGGCAGATTGGTGGCCGTACAGTCATGAGGAGAAAGTTAGATAGAGTCTTCTGGAACCTAGAGGCTCAAAATGTCTTCCCTGAAGCCAAAGCTAGGGTTCTCACTAGAACTCACTCCGATCACCATCCAATTTCCTTCGTTAGCATGGCGGGTTCGGCACCAGAGAGGAAAGATAGACCTTTCCGTTTCGAGGCAGCCTGGCTCACGCATCCTGGGTACAAGGAAATTTGGCGATCAGCTTGGGAGGACACTTCAGGTAATGTGGTGGGAGCTATCAACCAAGTGACTCTGCAGAGTAAAAAGTGGAACGAGGATGTGTTTGGAAATATTTTTAAAAAGAAAAGACACTTGCAAAGTCGTATCAAAGGGATCCAAACATCCCCTTGGTACAATAATGCTCGTGGCCTTCAAGTTTTGGAACATAAGCTTCTCCAAGAGCTCAACTTGACCCTGGCACAAGAAGAACTTCTTTGGTTCCAAAAATCAAGGAGGGCTTGGATCGAGGATAGTGATAAAAATACGAATTTCTACCACAAGTCCACGGTGATAAGAAGGAACAGAGGGAGAATCCGGGCTCTTAAACTAAACGGTGAGTGGATCTCAGATCCGGTGGTCCTTAAAGACCACGTAACTAGTTTCTTTTTTAATTTATTTCGCAGGAATAATCTTGAGGGGCAGAACCTTCCAGTTGATCACCATGGTTACAGACTAGACACAGTTGAAGCTTCAAGCTTGGTTAGGCGGGCTGATATGGAGGAAGTCAGAAAAGCAGTCTTCGGTATGAAAAGAATGGGAAGCCTGGGCCCGGACGGAATCCAGGCAGCTTTCTATCAAGACTTTTGGGAGGTGGTCAGCAACCCCATTACTGATCTCGTTAATGAAGCTTTGGTAACAGGTAAGGTACCGGTAAGTCTTCTGGAAGCTTTTGTCACGCTTATTCCAAAAAAAGATAATCCTGAGAGTGCGGCCGATTTCAGACCTATAACCTTGTTAAATGTGATCTTTAAGATTATTTCCAAAGTTATTGTCAACAGGATGAGACCAATTATGGATAAACTTGTGGGCCCACACCAAAATAGTTTCCTCCCGGGAAAATCTACGATGGATAATATTGTGCTGACGCAAGAAATCATACATGGAATGAGAACCAAAAGAGGCAAAAAGGCACGCTAGTCATGAAGGTAGACCTCCACAAGGCCTACGATAGCATTGGCTGGAGTTTCTTAGAAATAACTCTGAAAGACTTTGGGTTCCCAGAAAGGTTGATAAAGTTCATTCTCTTCTCCCTCCGAGAAAGCTTGATTAGTATCCTTTGGAATGGGGGTAAACTTCCTGCTTTTACCTCGGAGAGAGGGTTACGTCAAGGGGATCCGCTAGCACCTTATCTATTCATCCTAGTCATGGAGAAATTATCCATGGCCATCCAGGTGGAAACAAGAAAAAGGAGTTGGAAACCTATCTACTTGAGCAGGGGAGGTCTAGGCGTGTCCCACCTCTTCTTTGCAGACGACCTGATGCTGTTTGGGGAGGCGTCAGAAGCTCAAACTAAGACTATCATGGACTGCATAAATACCTTCTCTCGGCAATCAGGTTTGCATATTAATTTATCTAAATCCCTTATCTACTGTTCTCCTAACACCCCTAACAGGATCAAGCGTCTGGTGGGATCCACAGCTAACATCCCGGTAACGGAGAATTTGGGTAAGTACTTGGGTATCCCCATCCTTCAAAAGAGAGTTACTAAAAATCATTTCTCTTATATTCTGGATAATATGCGTAAAAAACTGTCAAATTGGAAAGCGGGTTTCTTAAGCTTGGCAGGTAGGAGAATCCTAGTTCAGTCCGCCTTGGCCACAGTTCCAGTTTATACCATGCAAGCTATGGCCCTGCCAACAGGTACGTGTAACGATATTGACAAAGCGTGCAGGGATTTCCTTTGGGGCTCAACTGACACAAAGAGAAAAATTCATCCCATCAACTGGAAGGAAGTTTGCACCCCTTGGGACATAGGGGGCCTGGGTCTCCGCATGGCTAAAGATTTTAACTTGGCTCTGTTAGCGAAGCTAGCCTGGCAAGTCATAAAAAATCCTGAGAAATTGTGTGTGCAAGCCTTAAAACAAAAATATGTGCAAAACGACAACTTCTTCACATCCCCAGCTCCCTCGAACGCCTCTTGGGGCTGGAGAAGTATCCTCAAAGGTAGAACGGTAATTGAAACTGGTGCCCGATGGAGAGTGGGAAATGGTCAATCCCTAGACTTTTGGTCAGATTGGTGGATTAACGACAAACCTCTTGGCCTCGAACCTACTATTGACATCCCGGAAAGCCTCGCTAACACGAAGGTCAGCGGATTCATAACCTCCAATCGCCGGTGGAACATTGCTAAACTTCAAGAGGCCCTGCCGGAGGTCCTTATCAACAAGATCAGAACCATCCCCATCCCCTTGGACGACAACACCCACGACAAACTGGTTTGGCCAGGTCATAACACAGGTATGTTTTCGGTAAACTCGGCCTATCATCACATTACAGGTACTGCTCTTGAAGAAGATGGTTGGAACTGGGTTTGGAAGCTCAACGTGGTGGAAAAAGTCAAGACGTTCGTCTGGCTCCTGCTAAAAAATAAACTCCTCACCAATGAAGAGAGGAAGAAACGAAACCTGACAACGGACAGCCATTGCGAGTGCTGCGGGGAAGACGAAGAATTGGCGTCCCACTTATTCCGGGAATGCCCGTTAGCGGTGGATTGCTGGGAGATCACTAAGACAGGTGGAGGCATGGACTTGGAGAGATTTTCCCCGTTGAATGCTTGGATAAAAAACAATTGTCAAAGTAACAGAACCATGCATGATGGTACGTCCTGGAGCTCAACCTTTGTGTACGTTCTTTGCCACCTCTGGAAAGCAAGAAACAATATTGTTTTCAACAGGATAAGAGAGTCGGCTACCTACATCATTCAATCGACTCGCAACATGGCAATGGAAGCCAGAACTTTTATAGCAAAAAATAAAGGCGCACCCATGGGCCAACATCGATGGATTAACTGGACTGCTCCTCAGCCCGGTTGGCTAAAACTGAACACAGATGGGGCCTCGAAATCAGGTACAGGTATGGCTAGTGCTGGGGGCCTTATTCAGGATGATCAAGGGATGTGGGTTAAAGGGTTTGTCACTAAAGTCGGCCTTACCGATACCTTCTCAGCGGAACTGTGGGGCCTAAGGGAGGGTCTACGGATCTGCCTGGAAGAAGGTCTCGACAGAGTTTGGGTAGAGATGGATTCAGCAGCCGTGGTGGCTATTATTCTGGGCGGAGCCAATCGGGCAGACACAATGGACACTCTCATTAAAGACTGTTTGGAAACCATGGAAAGAATTCCAAATACCCGGATTTCTCACATAAATAGGGAAGGAAACAAGTGTGCGGACAGGCTGGCTAATATGGGCCAGGTGATGGATTGGGGAACGACCATTCTTGAAAATGCCCCGATCGAGCTTACGGATCTCATTCATGCGGACGCTTGCAACACCTCCTTTTTAAGGGTTAGATAGTGCTCTCTCTCGAGGGCTCCAAATTCACCAAAAAAAAAAAAAAAGGATAAAAGAAGGAAAATTGCCCCATTGTCTTTACCGATGGTGATTTACTCACGGCTGCTGACCAATTCAATGACATGCTGATCGTTACAATGGATATCATGGGAGTTGACATCAAAGGTGTCTTGGTCAATACATGAAGCACTGTGAACGTCCTATATATGAATGTATTTAAGAAGTAGAATATTGAGCTAAATACCCTGCGATCGGTTCTATCGCCTTTGTTGGGTTTTGCTAGTGACATAATACAATATGAAGTCATGGTGGAACTATAAGTTGAGCTAGGAACACCACCGAGGGTACTCCAAACTACAATGGAATTTTTGGTGGTGCGATTGGAGTGCGTACACAATGTGATACTCAAACAAACGAGTATCACTAAGGTAGGAGCCATCATCTCTATGACCCACTTGTGCATTAAGTTTCACACCTTGGCGAATGTCAGAGGGAATCTTCGGTCAACTCAAAGATGTTATGTGAGAGCCATCCAAAAACAAGATGGTTTGTTCTCTAGAATTAATACAATAAGCAAGTGGTGAGAAGAAGGGAAGAGGGAACATCCGGAGCCACTCTCTTAAATCGAGGAAATCGTTTTGAACCCCAATCAACCTTATTGCTTCGTGAAAATTGGGAAGGGATTGTCAATCATCCTAAGAGACCAGATTGTGAAGGTTTTAATTGGTTATAGTGACATTTTTGCCTAGGGACCAGAAGATATGCTCGGCGTTGATCGGACAACCATATGTCATCTCTTGTAGGGGTCCCCGACTACCAAGCCTGTGAAATAGAAGCAAAGGCACCTGATGTCAAATTGTCGAGAACTTGTAGAAAGAATGTTAAAATGTTATCAGTGGCCTGTCATGTTTGAAAGTTATTTTACCTTGATTGGGTAGCCAATGTTGTACTTGTGCCAAAGCCGTCTGCGTGCAGGATAAGTATAGATCATACCAACCTAAACCGAGCGTGTCTGCTTGACCCTTATCCCTTGCCAGTGACATACTACTCAGAGGTTAAAAATAACATTAACTTTTTTTTTTTTTTAATTCTTTCTATATCCAATATTATGTTATTATTTAAAGGTGAAACTTGTTTTTCTTAATTTGCTAGCTTATTTTTAAGTTTAAAAAAAAAAATTGATTTTTTGTATCAACGAAAAACTGTTGATATTATAATGAAATGCATAAAATTTTAAAATTCTTATAATATCTTTGCCTTTTGGGTGTTTTTTGTTGTTTTTAGTGCATAGGAAAAATGAAGGATAGACACATCAAGCCAACAAGGTCAAACAAAGTGCAATGGCTTCAAGCCTTCATTGAACACATGAAAACCATGGAGAATACTATGATTACCTAGCAGATAGCCTATACATTAATTTAGTTCCCAAGCTCTCATGAAGACTAGGAACAAATTGGTAGGCTAATTGTGTAACTCGTAGCTCTACGAACATGGTCTTATGAGATTATAATTAATCTGACGAAGCTAAGAACACCTTAGTATTTAAAAAAAAAAAAAAAAATCTAGTGGTAGAATGCCATTCATTTCACATATGTCCCTAGTTAATTTTTGTTCAGATTCAAGAAATTTAATTGAACCTTGATCAGCAAAATTGTTCACAAGCTGCTGGTTTGCCCGAGTGGTTAAGGGGGAAGACTTAAGATCTTCTGCACATAAGTGCGCGTGGGTTCGAACCCCACAGCCAGCATTCTTTTTAACACACCCTTGGAGTAACATAAAAACGCCTGAAGAGTGGGCTGGAGGCTCTGCCATTGAATGTTAGTAGTAGTGAAAGTTTCCTTGATTCTATCCTCATTTCTGGATTTCCTCTAAATCTCCAGATCATGTTTAAGGCTCTGCCATTTAATTCTGCGTGTTTAAGGCTCACATCGAAGGGGGATTGGTTTGTTTCCAGTTTGCTTAGAATAAAGAAACTTTATTCATAAGACCACGGGTCATCTTCAAGAATCAAGAACACGATTCATATCAACTTCATGAAAGAGAAAGAGGTTGGCTGATACTTCCTTAGCCATCATCCCCTTGCCAGGCCTCTAGATTGATTCTATGGTGTCCCCGGAAAAAAGTTGAATTTAACTATGCGTTCGGTGAAGGTGTGCAATAATAAATATGGAAGAAAAACAATGTCATTAATTACTCAGAATAGTTCCAGGGAAAAACAAAATAGAACAAAAGCAGGCTTGCCACCAGTAACAAGAAGAAGAAGCTTGAAAAAAATTGTTCAGATTCAAGAAGTTAATTTGATTCTTTCTCAGCAAAATTGTTCACAAGTAGCTGGTTTGCCCGAGTGGTTAAGGGGGAAGACTTAAGATCTTCTGCACATAAGTGCGCGTGGGTTCGAACCCCACAGACAGTATTCTATTTTTAACAGATTATTTTATTAACTGCCTTTTAGTGTTTCTTCCAAATGAGAAGGATAGTGGTATTTTGATAATTTTAGCTAATTTAACAAAAAGGAAAATGAATCGTGAAGTTACAAAAAATACTAACACTTTTTTTTTTTCTTATTAAAAGAATACCGAAGAGAAAGACATTACAAAAATAATATAAAGTACGTTGTATATTGAATAACACTAAATTAATTAAATACAAAAATAAATTAAAAAGAGTTTGAATTAATCCTTGTAAATCAATAAAATGAAACTAAAAAGTAATATTTTAATTTTGCATTATCTTTAATTCTTTATGGAATATAAATTTTCTACCCCATCATGTATCATATTATTAGTCGAAATCCATGCAAATAATAATAATAATAGAAGGAAACATGAGAAATAGATAAAATAGTACAAGAACTTTTTACGTGAAAACTTGAAATGAAAAACATAATTAGCGATGTGATGCCAAATTTGACTATTTTGTATTAATGAGTACAAGTACATTTTGTTAGATCAATTTTCAATTCGCAATAAAAGAATCCTTATACGATGACTAAAAGTGCTTATAGATTGAAAACTCACTCTAACTTATAGAAATTGAAATAACAAACTACTTAGAATTATACGGAGTAATATTGATTTCAACCAGTAATATTTAGTAGAAACCAAAAATAACAACTTTTAAGTTTTAGCTATACTCTAATGTCCAAAAAAAAAAAAAGTTTGCTAACTATCATGTAGCTAGTGTGATGACATCTCGGTTATTCATTCAAATGAATGGTCAAAGTAGGGATGGCAATGTGCCCCGTCCCCATTGGGGATCCCCGCCCCCGTAAGGGATGGGGACGGGGACGGGGAAAATTTTCGGGGATCAGGGACGGGGATGGGGAATTTCACAAACTCCCCGGCGGGGACGGGGACGGGGATACCACTCCCCGCCCCGCCCCGTCCCCGAAAAAAATAAATAAATAAATAAATAATATATATATATATATATATATATATATATATATATATATATATATATATATATATAATATTATTTTAGGATTAGGAAATAGAATATTTGAATGTGTATACATTGGAACAATACGTCTACTGTACTACTGTGTATATAACAACAATAAGTAACAACAATTAAGTCAATATAATTCATAATGTTTGAATGTTAAACTATTTTTAGTATATATTTGCTCTTTCGGATTGGAATTTGAACTTTATTAGTTCGTATGTTATTAAAAAAATTGAATTTTAATTGTCATTTCAATTTTTTTCTTTTTATTTCTACTAGTTTCACACTTTGACTATGAGTTGACTGGGTATGGGGATGGGGATGGGGATGGGGTCGGGGTAGCGGGGACGGGGGCGGGGAGTATACTCCCCGCCCCCGCCCCGCCCCGTTGCCATCCCTACGGTCAAAGGTTTGAACGTTGGTGGTGGGGGTTTAGATTCTTTGAACTCAAAATGTTTGAGAAAGTATTCAACCTTAGCACAATTTGTTAGTGGTGGGTTAAGTGGATCATTTTACACATAATTAAAAGGTAAATTTGTTTCTAATTCATAGATTGAGTTGTCTACAATATAGGTATAATTAATAGACTAAAACTATTATGTTTCCCCATTAATGGTGAAAACTCAACCAAGAACCTTGTGATCCAATGGTATCTGATTCTTCCTCTAAGTGAGAGGTGATAGGTTTGAGCCTTAGTGGAGGTGTTTAGTAATTTGGGTGTCCCCTTTCTTTTGTAAAAAAAAAAAAAAAAAAAAAAAAAAAAAAAAAGGTGAAGAGCTCATATATGTATAAATTATGTCTGAAGAATGATATTTATCTCAGAAAAAACACATTTAGATTTTAATTAAGCCAATATATGTATATGAAGTGAGTATATTAAAGGAAAGAAATTCACAACCTTTCAGTCTATAGAAAACATGGAAATTGCATTTAGTCTAAGACACAAAAAATATTATGGTACGGTGGATATCAATATAATATAGTTCTGCTTGCTATCTGGCTTATCCCACTTAGTGAAATGTGATATTATATAATTACATTACTCCTTGGAGAGGACTGAAGAAGAGGAACTATCCTCTTTATGGTCTCCAAATATGCGTTGCCTGAAGTCTTTTACCATTTTGGGCAGACCCTTCTTGAGAGCCACTTTGGGCTCCCAACCCAGCAATTCTTTGGCCTTTGAAATGTCTGGCTTCCTCTTGTGAGGGTCATCCTCTGTGTTTGGCCTGAACTCTATCTGGGCATTTGGATCAATGGTTTCTTGGACCACCTGCGCCCACCGCCTCAAACGAATAAGTTACGGTAACAATCACAGAAACTAGCTCAAATAAGAAAATAAATAATAAGAACCAACTAACACTAACATTAATCTTTGGCCCTGTTTGGTAAAAAATTGGCCTAGGCCAATTTTAGCTTATTTGATCACTATTAATTGTTTGATTTAATTAAAATATCAATATAAATGTTTGGTTAATTAGCTTTTTGCAACTCTAAAAGGCTAAAATTAAAAAAGCTACTCCTGGCAACTTTTTCAATTAGCTTTTTGAGAAAAGAAATTATACCAAACAGCTATCAGCAAACAGCTAATTTACCAAACACTTTTCTACAATCAGCTAATGTTATCAACTATTTATACTCTCTAATTAACACAATCAGCTAACAGCCATTTTACCAAACAGGGCCTTTATCTATCATATCCAATGTTGCAAAAATCGCGCCTAGGTGCTAATCGATTGGCCTCCTAGGCGTCCTAGGCACCTGCCTTGGCGTTCTAGGCGCCCTAATCGGTCCCCAGGTGCCTAGTGATTTTTTCAACATTGATCATATCCATCCTCTTATTACCTTGGCAAGTTCAAGCATTGTGAATTCTCCGGGGTTTCCAAGGTTAAAAGGTCCAACATGCTCTCCTTCCATCAACCGAATCAAGCCCTCCACCTTATAAATAAATGATTATGATTATGAGATGAGGTTTAATTTGCTAGCTTGGAACAATTGAAATTAGAATAGGCAAAAGTCCTCACCAGATCAGACACAAATTGGAAACTTCTTGTCTGCTTTCCATCACCATAAACTGTCAAAGGTTCCTTTCTTAAGGCCTGCAACAGTTGCAAAAAGAAAAAACTCCTCAGTTATCTGGCTGGGCAGGTTTATATCGCTGAGGATACAAACTTGTAAATTCATATCCCAGCTTTCTTAATTTGAGCATTTCAATTACGGGTACACTAGGTTGATTTACTTTGCCAGCTATGATTATAAGGTAGGGTTTACCAAGTGTACACCCTCGAGTAATGACTGCAGGTTTCCCTCATCACCCCTAAAAAACAGCAATATAATGTTTTACCTGAGCAACGAAGTTGCTGACAACACGGCCATCATCAATGCACATACGCGGACCATAGGTGTTGAATATTCTGGCAATCCTTACCTACATGTGATCAACACAATTTTTTTTTTTTATTTCATTAATAACGGTTAAGAGTTTCACATTGAAAAAAAAAAAAAAAAAAAAAACAAGAAAGAACATATGAGTTTTACAAAGTCATAATTAGACTAGCTAATGAATTCAGTTTTTAGTTTAATTCGATTCATGTACATTATAGTCCAGTTGAATGACCATCGCACAACATAACATCATGTTATAGGCAGGCATCGTGGTAGCTAGAGCGCAACATATATATGAATGATAAAGTAAGTAACCTCAACGCCGGCACCTCTGTGGTAGTCCATGGTCAAAGTTTCCGCCGTACGTTTCCCCTCATCGTAGCAGCTTCGAACACCTGTATGTAACCATTTCCCCACACTACTGTCATTCTTTGATTACTAGAAATTGATGATAAAAATTGAAATTTATCCTTGAAAAATAAATACAAATTATAATTTATTTTTAAAAATAAAATAAAACATGTCAAGTTAAGTAAAGAATAATATAAAAATTAAAATATAGGTAGTACAGTACTATAGAAAAATAAAATACTACGGTCTACGGTATTGTAAAATTTATGTGTGCGGTCCAATTAAAATAAAACGAATGGGCAAAAAGAAGAGTTTGAATGGAAGTGCTCAAACAAAAGACGGCGGTGAGAGAAAGTTTGGTCCATAGAGAAAGAAATTTGAAGCAAAAAGAGTGTGACACTTGGCAAGGACAATGTACTTATAGTATCCCACTCAAATTGTCATTAAATGAAATTAAACCAAAATGTACAACAAGTAGACCCGCCAATTACGATTAAATGAAATTAAACCAAAATGAAAAGAAGGACCTCGTGGTCCATTGGTATGAAGATTTTTTATTTTTTTATTTTTTGTATTATGTGGGAGGTTATGGGTTGGATTTAGTTAATATGTAAACGTAACACTTTTATATTTTGATGTAAAAGTATTACTTTTTCATCAAAAGTATTATATTTTTTTCTTACAGGTAATGTTGCATTTATAAAGGAAAATATAATACTTTTGATGCAAAAATATTACATTTTTCTATATAAGTAATAAACATTTTATTCTTGATTTAATATTTACATTTGCTAGTATAAGTATTACCTATCATCCTGACCCAACCTGTCTCACGAACAAGAATCCTTGAGAAAGTCTCACACACATTTTTGTCTTGTATTTTTGGTCCCCTAATTATTATACATGAATCTCACATGTGATTCTTTACTATTAAAATTTTCTAATTATATGCATAATTATATAATTTGTATTATATTTGGTCATGTCGTTTAATTTCTCAACAAAACTATTGTCAGAAGTGCTCCTTTCGAAAGAAGCAGATGCAGTGCTCTTTCTGGAGAAATACTTTTGACAATAGTTGGCTAAAAAATTAAACATCAAATATTATACAAATTACATAATTATGCACTTAATTAAAAATTTTTAATAATCAATGACCAAGTGACCAAATGTGATTACGTATGGGGACGAAATTTTACGGACTAGTTCATTTAGCAAAAACAAAATTCCAAAAATATTATTCTAGACAATATGATGAAATGGGAAAAGAGAAAAATACGAGGGCGGCTTTTAAAATAAGAGTTAACTCGACCAGGACTGAGGCTAACGTGCACCGTCAACCACCCCTCGGCGGGGCAAGACGATTTCACGACTAACTACGGCCGGAAAAAAGTAAGGAGGAGACTAACTGACCGATCGGATTAACGTTTCCCCAGTATGTCTCCTTCTGGGGATGCTCCAGAGGATCGCCGTAAACCTCGCTGGTGCTGGTTAGCAAGAACCGCGCACCCACCCGCTTGGCCAATCCGAGCATGTTCAGAGTCCCCACCACATTCGTCTTGTGAATCCAAATTAAGGTTTTCAAATCCAATTCAAATTTGCAGAAATCATTTAAGAATCAGAAAACCAGAGAAATGTGAAGTAATTTTCTGGTTGGACTGAATAACTAGAAGTTGTTATTGAATCAGACTCTGTGCTTAATATAAATCTGGATTAATGAAAGGATATAATAGTCTTGACGGGGTTGTGCTTGTAGTGAACAGGGGAAGCAGGGCAGGCGAGGTGGTAGATCTGGTCGACCTCCAGCAGCAGCGGCTCGACGACGTCGTGGCGGATGAGCTCGAACCGCGGGTTCCCGAAATGGTGCATAACGTTCTCCTTCCGGCCGGTGAAGAAGTTATCGACGACGATCACGCTGTCCCCTCTAGCCATCAGCCGGTCAACCAGATGGCTCCCCACGAACCCGGCGCCGCCCGTCACCACGATCCTCAACCCCTTCTTAGGTTTCAGCCCCAGCGGGATCTTCCCGCCGGAATTGAACGCCCCGATCCCGCCGTCCTGGTAGACGAGCCGGTGCGGGCGAGCTAGCGAGTACGAGTCGTCGGAGAGAGCGTCATAGCCGCCGGCGGCGTTGGAGGAGGAGGAGGGGAGGAGGGCGAAGAAGAGGGTGGTGACGGCAATGCCGGCGACAAGGAAAAGTAAACGCTGTTCCCGGAGAATATAGCGAATGGGGCGAATCACGGCGAGCCATGGCTTGGGAGGCTTGGGAGTATAAGCGTCTGTGACGGGATGTGATTCCTGTCCTCTGAATATCAACTCGGAACCCATTCCGTAATCTTGCCTTGTCTTTGGGGGGTCTTCACTACTCTATATATAGATTTGAAAAATAATACTTTGGGGACTATTCAAAGAAAACTAAAAAAAAAAAAAAAAAAAAAAGAGCTATTACTATCACAACTTATGTTAAACTATGAAAAGTTAAAAAGTACTCTCTCATTTCTAAAAATAAAAAAAAATGTTATTCTTCCGAATCAAAATCACGTTTGATGTAATATTGATTGATTACTCGTGAATTAACTGATTCTCACAAATCTATGTATGGAATAATAATTAAATATAAAACTGCATTTAAAGAAATCATGAAGTGATAAATAATAAATGATTTATGTAAGGGGCAATAATATTGCATATCTCTGAATACCATAAAAAGTTCAAATATTTCATTAACTATTTTTAAAAAATTTCATTGGGTGAAATAAATATTAATTTTTTTTCTCTCTCATTAATATTCATTGGCATAATTGTTTTTATCACTTGTCCGCACCAACAAATCATGTGATAGATTGTTGGCAAAGACACAAGACCGAGACTTGATAGTCGTAGTATGGGAGTTACACCTAATGTGATGAGTTCTTTGTGGTCACTAGGCACTGGTCTTCCCGCTTAAGAGGCCATTGAGTAACTGCAATTTACCTCTCTACCATCATGTTAAGCCAGAGTGTAGGGACCCTTGGAGCGAGGAATTTCGCTTTTTGTGAGCAAAAATTGTTCTTATCACATATTTTAGATCACATAATTAGTAAGAGTGTTTGACAAATGACTGTTAGCTGATGGTTGATTAGGTTAGTTGGTTTGATATACTATTAGCTGATTGTAAAAAAAAAAGTTTGTTGGGGTAAATTAATTGTTTACTTTTAAGTTATTGTATCTAAAATAACCTATAAGAGTATAAACACAATTTTTATTCATAATAAATTCACTTAATTTTTTTGTTATAATAAATTCAAAATGCTTTTAAAAAGTGAATTTGCGTAATAAATTATTTATGCTATTTTTTATCCAGGTTATATCTATAAAAAGTAACAATCCTTTTGTAAAGCATCTCAATTTATGAATGCAAGACATTTTCGAGGAAGTAAATAAGAGTATATGTTAACAATAGATAGCTATTTTGGTGTGAGAAAATCTCAACGGGAATTGCAAGGGCGAACATTGGTGTCCGGAGCGTGGAAGATGTGAAGCTAATATATGGCTTAGAAAAAGCATGAGGTTACAACATCAGCAGCTCTGTTGATTACTTAGGTGAAGTTTGAGAACAATAACCCATGATCAAATTTTACCAGCAGCAGTATGGGAACAACCTCCAAAAGTTATTTTTTTTTAAAAAAAACAAAAACAAAAAAACAAAAAAAAAACCTCTCAAAGTGAATAGCTCTTAGTGCGCAGTAAACAAAGATCTAGCCTCTGTATTCAGCTGATTTACACTCTGTCAGGTCTATGCGTGGGGATCCTTAAGGGGCGTTTGGTTCACGGAATGTTAGATTACCAAAAAAAAAAACTCTCAAAGTGAGTGGCTCCTAGTGCGCAGTAAGCGAAGATCTAGTCTCTGTGTTCAGCTGATTTACACTCTGTCAGGTCTATGTGTGGGGACCCTTAGGGGGCGTTTCGTTCACGGAATGTTAGATTCTTGTGTTTGATTTAAAACTAAGATATGTAAATAAGACAACAATAATAAGATAAATTAATAAAAAAAAAAATACAAAGCCCAACATTAGTAATCAGACAAGGGAATGTGAGATTACCTAAGAAATTGGAGGGTATCTCACATTCTCTTCCAAGCTAAAAACTTAATGTGGAGGTTATCTGACATTATCTGGAAAAGTTATATAACCTGAACTAAATATGAGAATCTTATATTACCAAGCAAATATAACCTTGGTTATCTTATATAACCTGAACCAAACGCCCCCTTAGGGTTGAGGATCTAACGCTCTCAAATGCTCTGTCGAGTCAACGCGCGGTGACCCTTGGGATTGAAAATTTAACCTTTTTGGAAACAACCGAAAAAGCATGAGGTATTTTAAAATTGAAATAATTAAGTGTACCACCCTTATATGGCAATAATAATAATAATAATAATAATAATAATAATAATAATAATAATAATAATAATAATAATAATAATAATAATAATAATAATAATAATAATAATAATTCGAGATCCACTTTTTGTTCCAAAAATGTAACTGCAAAATTATAGTTTTTAATGCAATAAATGTATACTATAATTACAATCATTTGTATATTTATAAACCATTAAATATATTGCAAATAAAGACTAATAAATTATATATTTTTGCTCACTAGAGACTCAACGTCCTATTAGATGAGAAGACCCGTGCATGTTGTTCACAAGGAGCCCATCATGTACATTGGATATAATTCTCATACCGTGACTCTTAGGGCTCCATCATATATCCTTGACTACAATCTACCACTCAAAAATCAATTGAGATGTCAGTGCGAACATAAACTATATATATATATATATTTTTTTTTATATAGGCAATGATATAGTTATTTTTAGTACTAAAATTTTTACACGATATGACGTATTGTGATCGGTTATCTATCAAATCAAAAGTTTCTCTAGGAAAAATTAAATGACAATTTGTCTTTTAATTATGTCACATTAGACTTAATCACTGAATTATTATCCTATATATTTTGTTCTTTAATTATCTTCAACATGCATGTGTCGTTTTAACAAGCCTACTTACATAATTCATCATATTTCTCTAAAAACTGTTGTATTAAACATATTTGAACATACAATTCAATATCTCTCATGGCCTAATTAATCAATTTCATCCTTGTCATTTTTGTTTCTAGTTAAAAGTTAAATTTTTCTTCAATCACGATATACAACCATTTAGGGTTTACAATTTTCGTAATTAGAAAAAGAAATTTTAGTAATTTTCATGTGTTTAATGTATAAGGGGTGCATTCAAAAAAAAAAAATGTATAAGAGGTGATCTATTAGAGGGAAAGGGAGAAAATTATATAAAAATTACTTGGTTGCCCTTAACAATATGTGTAAAATAATATTTTTCATTGAATATGATGGATTCTGTAAGTAGCATGGTTAAAACTACCTCTTTAACAATAATTTAAGGAAAATATGGATGGTGTATTTAAGGTAATAATTCATTGATTGAATCTATAGAATGAGCATAATTAAAGGAATAAAATTACAATTATCACTTTCCTTAATGCTACATTACTTTAAGAAAAAATACACATAAATATTAACATATTTATTTATGTAACAGTACTTAATTAATTTTTTTAAATATATAATTACTTAACACGAAAATAAGGTCGTCTAATTTATTGTAAATTTAGAAGAGAAAATAATATTTGTGTTTTATTAGAAAAGATTCAAACTTCTTGCTTTAATGAAAGGTGTTTCTTTTGGTATATGACCAATAGCTTTTTTTTGCCAACCGATAGCAGCCACGCTAATTAGGTGAACATCTATCACGTACTCATTCAAACCACACATTAAATTTTATTTTTTACAAAATTATTGTCTGAACCGAAAAGAAAAAGACTTAATACTCTGTTTGGCAGAATTTATTTAGGAGCTTATAACTTATTTTAAGCTACTAATAAGCTATAAGCTCTGTTTGGTAATGTCCCAAAATAAGCTCCTAGCTTCCTGACTCTTTTTTTTTTTCATCTTTATCCTTATTATTGTAAAGAAATGACATTATTTACCCTTCCCAATTAAAATCTTTTTCTCTTCTCCTTTAATTTATCTGCAACTTTCACCGCAATTATTATTATTATTATTATTATTATTATTATTATTATTATTATTATTATTATTATTATTATTATTATTATTATTATTATTATTATGAGATTTGCAACAGTATTGCTACTTCATTATGAGATGTTAGATCATGATTATGCTAATAGTTTTATTTCAAAATGTTAATTTTTTTTTAAAGACAAAATGTTAAATTTTAATATGTAAACAAACTAATTTAAATTTTATGAAGATGTCATTTTTAGTCTTTTTACATTTATCAGCTTATCAAAAAGCTAATTTTACCAAATACTTTTAATCGTAACAACTAGCTTAACAGCTCTTCAGTTTTCAGCTCTGAGCTTATAGCTTTTCAACTTTCAGCTCCTTTTCAGCTTTCAGCTCCTAGCTTATAGCTTTTCAGCTAGGTTTGCCAAACAGAGCCTTAATATTGTATAAAAGAAATTATTATTGTTGGGCGTCGATCAATCATTCTTCCAAAAGTTGTGTCACATTGTATTCAGTACAAAAATAATGTACATTGTATTCGGTAGATGTACATTATTTTTGTTCTGAGTGTACATTATTTTATATAATGTACATTCAGTACAAAAATAACGTACATTTAGTATATTAAAAATGTAATTTTGGTAATGGTCCACATAACATTGTGTGGACCATGGTCCACACAATAATTTACCGGCGTCGATCGGGTTGACCGAGTTCAGTCCTGCTCAATTCGAAACGTAGTATTGTGACTTACCATGTAACGATATGGTTAAATTGTTAATGTCCAACTACTCATCACTAATTCGTTTTAAGTATTATATAACAATCAGATAGCTAAAGAAATATATGTCTAAGAGTAGGTGACTTACAATAGTCACAGAATGAGTGATCTTGGGCGCTGAGATCTTACCATTGGTATCGGTTAATTTCTACCTACTGAGATCCAACCATTATTTTTTAACTTAATACTCATTTTTACTGTTGCACCTACTTTTTGCAAAATGTAATGATTTGGCCGTTAAAATATCCGATTCATACTATTGTAAAATAGCGTGAAGTTTGAAGGCAAGAAATGGCAGTTCGATTATTCCTTTAGGTTGACAAAGCACATGAGCACTCATATATAATAGTCACGTCTCTGCCATGCATGTATGCAACAATTTGCATGAACATCTATATATGTCCTAATATGATACTATACCAATTATAATTATAATTCCAAGATTCATTAGATTTGACCCAATAAAATTTGTCTACAAACTTTTAAAAGAACTAGATCAAAATCTATTAATTGGTCGAGACTGAGATATACGTTGAACTTAAGATCAATTTGACCAATTGAGTCTTTTAAACTTGATTGAAAAATTTATTGCATGACAAACCAGACAATTATATTTAGAAAACAAAGAATATACACTTGACAAAATTTAATTTGACCAATTAACATATGTTGGTATGACTCACTAAATTTGTATAAATATGAGCTCCCATAACATTGGCGAGGGCTTCGAAATCCTTACATTGGCCCAATAAGGCGAAATCCCTTGCCCCAAGAAACCTACACCTCGGCTCAATAAAATTGTTGAAATATTGTCACATAACTTTGACCACATGGTCAAACAAAATATTATCTTAGTGTGATATACTGAAATCCGATCACTTATATAACATCTTTAATCTTGTATATTATGATTGAGCTGGCCCAGCTATCGATCGACATTTGAGCTTTAAGGGTTATTATTGTTTTTCACTTTTCCCCAACAAATAAAAACATATTAATATTTTTTATGTCACATAAAATATGTTGTACTTAATATTTAAGGGGGGAAAAGAACAAAAGAAGTCTCAAGAGATCAGATAAATTAAATCATGTTCCAAAATCCTTGATGTACGGTAATTTGAGTCACACTCAACCAACACTAATCTACAACCCACAACTTTAATTTTACTTCGGATTAATTAATATTTACTCCAAACATATAATGTGGACTATTATGTTTGGATCGGATTAGCGTACAAATATGAAAATATTAAACTTCAACAGCAATCCATTCCTTCTTCCCAAATGGTTAAATCCCAACCCCAAGGGCCCCTCACATCCCGGGCCGACAGAACATCTGCAAGGATGTAAATAATGGTAACTCATTTGAACCACAGATACTAAACCTTGCTTACTGCAATCCCGACCTGATAGGATATCTGGAAGAATGTAAATCATGGTAACTCAACTGAACCACAGATACTAAACCTTTGCTTACTGCAACAAGAAGTCCCCCTCACTTTGAAAGATTGCTCCCACACTGTTGCTGGTGAGATTCGATTTTTGATCAATTTTTCGAAATTTTAACAATTGAGTTGCTCAAGCGGGCAATCATTGACTATACGGATTGGTTGATTTCACTTCTCGGATCGATACAATACGGCACGTGTGTGTTGTTTCTTAATCAAAAGGCAATTTGGTGTTGCCTTTGAGTGATTCAAAAGCTCAATTATCTTTCTAGCTTCACAAGTCAACGGGCAGATGCAGATGCACCTACACTCTAACTATTTCATTTTTTAATAACTTCTCAAAATTATAAATTTAATTTCATAGAAAGATTGGTTGTCAAGCACGCTTAACTAATATTATCATTAATCCAATGCCATTGACTTGAAAATATTTTATATAAATTTAATGTACAATTAATCTTATATTTTAGAATAATGCTACACTTTACTGCTCTACTAAATGCACTAGTTACATAATACATAGTCAGTTAATTACATTCTAATGTAACATTATCGTTGAAAAATTAGTATATATTAATATTTTAAGTAATTATTTTGAGGTATAATTTTGACTGTGATCTACTTTCGATTTGAGTTAGATCAAAGTTGAATCGGACTCTCCTAGTTAAAAATGTGTGAAAAATAGCATAAAATAACATTTTAAGTGACTATTTAAAAATCAAATCCCAAAAATCGCAACCTTACGGGTGGAGTTTTGAAAGTTGTGTAAAGTGGTGATAGAATGGAGTGTGTGTGAGAGGGTATCCTCACACCGACTATCGTCTCAAAGAGTGGACTAGAAGTCTGGAATGATGTTGAATTGTAGGTGGTTAAGCACAAGAGTGTTTGAATTGGTAATTGATTTTTAAGTTTGAGTTAGTGCTTTGAGATGTTTGTTTTGATTTTTTTTTAATTCATATTGGTGCTTTAGATGTCACTATATTACGATCAATTGCTTTGATTTTTTGGTTTTTCTGTTTTTAAAACATTTATTCTTATTATATGGCTATACATAACCAAAGATCATAATCATTTCAATTTTATCCTACTACCAAACATGTAAAATATTTTCACCAAAACTCATTACTATTACAACGTGTTTGATTCTCCTTCTGATTCCGATTCCGATTCCATGTGCGAAACAAGTATACTGTAACATATTAAACGGGAGAAATAGAAAATACTAGCGTGAATGACAGTCCAACAGATTCCAAGAAATTAGTGCGGACAACGAGCGTCCGATTAGAGAATTGGAAAAGTGGCGTTGGGTCCACCTAAGGCGAAGTGGACCGGATTGGGACTGTAGTCTTTCATTAGACGGTTGCGCGTCGCACTCGATTTCATCTTACGCAAGACTCCCATTCCCCACGTTTTGTCGGTTTTTGAGTATATTTGTGATTTCATCATACCTCCATTATTTAAAAGAAAAATGGTCATAAGCCCGAAAACCGTATGGTAACCTATAATTACAAGTTATTTAAAATTTCGGGATCTTTTTTACACTTTTCAACAATAATTATTGGGGCGATTAGATGATCGCCGGTCACGTTGGGAGGAAACAACCAATTGTTCTGCCTCTTCCTTCGCCTGAGAAGGCAACCAAGTTAGTTGTCTTCTCCGGCGAAGGAGAAGGCAGACCAATTGGTCACCTTAGCTTCTTCTTTGCTGGAGAAGGCGACAAATAAGTACCCTACGGCTTGATTTAATCTCTAATCCATAGTATCTTTTTTGGCATCTTACTTTGAATCATCTAAGTCTTGGTTCTTTGTTTTACTTGTCGTATTTGCTATTTGCAAGCAAGTAGTTTTAACTTGTCTTTAACTCCGCTTTGAATCATTTCCTAACATTACAAGAAGCCATCTCAAGTGAAACGATATATATATATATATATATATATATATATATATATATATATATATATATATATATATATATATATATATATATACACTTACTAGAATTTGGTACTTTGATAAATGTAGTAGCAAAATTTGGTACTTTGATAATCTTTACTTGCACAACAACAAACCTTTGTACTTGGACCACGACTTCATTCTAGATTTCTAGTAGACAAGCACATGCATAGCAGCAGCCTTTCAATTCACACTTCACAATAACCTTTCTGCCAGTGTAACAACCTTTCCAATAGTTATTGTGTGGACTGTAGTTCACACAATTACGTGGACCACGGTTGAAAAATGATGTTGTTTCGTGTAATTTTTTTCACGCGATTTGTCGTAATATACATTTTTATACCTCATAATGTACATTATTTTAACATTTAAAACACATTATTCTAACACGTAATGTACATTATCTTACTTCAAAAATTTCATTATTCTAACACATAAAGTACATTATCTAACACATAATGTACATTATCTTACTCCAAAAGTTTCATTATTCTAACAAATAATTATTATTAAAAAAAAAAAAAAAAACATGATAAGCACTGGCCCTGAACACCAGGCAAATTAAAAGCTGTAACTTTCTCTACCAAACTTGTCAAGAATTGGGTATACTGTAATCAAATGTGCACAGTAAACTCTTATTATGTACTTGTATCCACCAGGGACCAGGCATAAGGATCACATGAATCTTGAGAATTTAGTGATCAGATCGATCATCCAAATCAATTGAATCAATGTTTTAGAAAGTGCTAAGCGCTACTTAGACGCCCCGGGGCATTTAGCACCTAATGCTTCCTAGGTGGGGAAAAAAAAAAAAACATTCGGTTGAGTTGGCCGACTTAGGTGCCGAGTTTGGCAGACTCAGGCACCAAATTGGCCGACTCGGGTGCCTAGGCCGCCTAACCGGCCGACTAATATCAGCCTAAAGGTAAAATTCCATCGGCCTAGCGGGTGCCTAGGCCGATTTTAACAACAGGGAAGCCCGCTAGGCCGATTTTAACAACAGGGAATTGAATCACCTAGATGATGCTGTTCTATTGGCGGCAGGCAAGAAAAGATGTTTTTTTATAAAGAAAAGCATGTACAACATCCCTCACTCACTTTTGGCAACACCAAATGTACATATCATGCTATATTATCTATACAACAACAAAGATTAGAATGTGGCAGCCAGTTACTTACATGACTTGTTGAAGCAAAGCCCCTGTAATCAGAGCCACTCTGCAAAGTATTAAGACTCAAAATCTCAAAGTACTCTGAAATACTCACACAGAAAGAAAAGGTTAAAGAAAGAGGCTTCTCCCTGTCAAACTCCTCTTGTAGATGACAACAATACATACCTTATACCGCAAACAACAAACAACCAAACACTTAATGTTAGTTACAACTCTCCAAACCCCACATCAATACATAATTCATTACCATCCAATTATGAAAAATTAAGCCACAAAACTCTACTTTCAAGTCTCAGATATATCCACTTTACACACAAATTTCGGAAAGGAAACGCTGATGATTGTATATACTTGTAGTCCTCAGTCTATTAGAAAAATTATATATGGGAAGAGAAGCAATAACTCCAAGTAAAGAGTTTTCGAATGACAAAATTATAACCAAAGCCTGCTTAGCACTGCTGTGAAATTACAAGACTGGATTGTGATGAATTAGATTTGAATCTCAGTACAAATACAAGGCACAAGTTACAGTTCAAGAGTTTTCTTGAAATAAAGAACCGAACCATATGGGTGACATTCCTAAGCTCTCCTAACATTAGTAAAATACTGGGGAGGCTCAGTTTGAAATAATAGAAAAGAATGTCAAAAAGTAACATTACAAACAATAGCAAACAAAACTGCAACACTTTTTCACATATATGATGGATAACACAGGTAATAAACTTCATGCCAATAATAGAAGCAGCTACCTCATCAGATCTACCATTTTTAAATTGTGCTTCCTTCGCCGCCATCTATGATGAGCTTTTTGCAATGTACTCTCACCAACCTTCTCCCTTTTTGACACTGTCAATACAAGAGATCAATCAACAATCAATTGGTAGGAGTAGACTAGAGAAGTCTACACTCAGTTTCGCATCGCAGCATGGAATACTAATACAATGGCCCTGTTTAGTACAGCTTATCAGCCAATTTTGGCTTATTTGACCACTATTAGATGTTTGACTTGGTTAAACAGCCAATATAAGTGTTTGATTAATTAACTTTTTGTAACAGTTTATTGCTCCAAAACACTAAAAATTCAAAATGCTGCTCAAAGCAGCTTTTTCGATAAGTCATTTTGCATGTAATCAACTATCACTAACAGCTAATTTACCAAACATCTTTCTACAATGCTATCAACTAGTCAAATTCACTAACCCAATCAGCTAACAGCTACTCGTATTTACCAAACACCCCCCATATGAGATGCTATATCCCAACAGTATTAATAGAAAACAACTGCCCTCATTGTGAACTCATTGCATTAAGAAAAATTGAACTGTTGATGCCAATTGCCACCCATTGTGCTAGATAGAATGATAGGCAATCAAGCACCAAACGTATTATGGATTAACCAATATACCATTTCCCCTACTCATTCAGATTCAAAAGAAGAACTTTGCTTCAACAAAAAAATTGCAGTAGAAAATTTTAAGTGCAAAGTTCAATAAAAGAACCTTTACACATAATATTTAAAAACAATTGACTGGGACTTCAGACTAACAATTTTAGAATAATCTTTAGGCAACTCTTTCATAAAATTCCACAATACAATTTTTTGCTCATTCTAATAGTCATTTGTGTTTAAATAGCACTGTTTCATTGTTTGAAAAAAGTTGGTTCCATAATCAATTAACCATTCAAGGAGCAAAGAAGCAATCTAATGTTGAATACTTGCTGCAAACTACATCTTAAAGCATCAATCAATTAAAACTAAGTTAAAACTCATCAAAGAAATTTGAAATAGCAATTGAAATTCAGGAAAGCGAAAGCTTTATACCTCCAAATTCATGGCACCAGAATAAGATCCGCTGATCATCCTCTTCTTCATCGAACTCATCACCGTATCCTAACTCGGCATCGCCTCGATAACCCGGTTCACTTCCATAGCCCGATTCAAACCCCAGACTGTCAAAGTTTCCATTTTGCAAGGCGAAGCTCAAATTCTCCTTATCTGCGCTCCCATGTTCCCTCTCTTGCCTCGAATTCCTGACTGCTTCGCTAACATCCGACGCCCAATTCGTATCCCCAATCACAAACAACTCCCCACTCGAGTCCGTCCCCGCCGCGACAAGGAAATCAGAGCAGGTCCCATTGGCCGCCGACGCCCCGACGGAACAACACCGCCGTCGGGTCCCACTTCGATCGCTGCCCGATCGCGACCCGCCGCGGCGGCGGCGCTTCCGAGCGCGCCAGCGGAGCCCGCCGCGCTTATGGGCAGATAGAGGGCGGTCGTCGTCGAACAAGCTGAGCTTGGAGAAGTCGATGGCGTCGAACGGAAACGACGTAGCCCGATCCGCACGACAAGGGCGCTTGTTAAGGAAGCCATTGGTGTGAATGGAGTAGAGCTTAGGTGGATCGGAGTCTGGGGGTCGAGTGTGAATCTGAAAGGGCCTCCAATTGTGCAGTTGGAATGTACAGGTGTCGAGAGCGTGCAGTGAAGCAGGTGGAACTTTGGGCGACATTGATGAAAGGAGGATTCTCAATTCTGTGGACAAAGAAATGTGGAAATTTTCTTCTTCTTCTTCTTCCTCTTCTTCTTCTTCTTCTTCTCCGGCGTATGTGTAAGGAAGAAGATTCTACAAGACAATGACTGACATGGACGAAAATCTATATAGATCTTTCTCGAATCTGCTTCTGGATATTACACCAATCCCGCCGGACCTATTCATCTTTCCTCATGACACCTGGCGCCTCAAATTTCATTTCTATAAATCAACACTCCTTTATACCCAATAATAAAATTAACTCCTAAACTTTATTCCAGAAGTGAATTAGGTACTTAAATTTTTAAAAGTTACAATTAAATATTTAAACATGTTAATTTTGAGCATTGAGACTTAAAAATAGATTGGTAACATGTAATTATAGGTTACTAGGATTCTGACGGGCCTTCAACCATATTTCGACCGAAAAAAACTGCCGAAACAGTTGCTAGTGTGGGTTGGCTGCCTTTTCCTTCGCCGGTGCTTTTGGTCAGAATATGGTAAGAGGCCCACTGAAGGTTCACCAGTACCTTAGTGACCTGTAATTACAAGTCACCAATCGGTTTTTAGGCATCAATGTTCTAATTGCAACCTTTGAAAGTTTAAGGACATAATTGACTTCTTGAATACAGTTCAGATGTTTATTTCACCATTTTTTTCAAAAAATAAAAAATATAGCGAGCCAGTTCACTATAAAAAAGATCGGAGTGTCCTTGTATTTAATGATATTTTAATAATTTTATTAACGAATGATAAAAATAATCACGTCACGATAATACTAAGACTAAGAAAGATGTTTCGAAACAAAAAATATATAAATAAAATTAACTCTTCTGTGAAACATTGGGAAACAGGAATTCCAAATGTAAGAAAGCAAAGGGAGAAGAGTGGGAAAGTAGTGGCGGATGGATGGAGTTATAATTATTGTTGTTGAGTGTTGACTTGTGATAGTTTTATACAACATATATACAGCACAAAGTCATCGATCAGTCATGGGTCAATAGGAACATATTTTTTGGAGTAGGGGGAGGGGGTACCCAACTATCACTAGTTTATAGTTTATACAATCAGAATTCTTCCACAAACCCTTCTTGGCTCTATCAACTTCCAGCATATCCAAGATTTCCGCTGGTGGATTAAGGAACTCCATCCATTCGCAATGCCTCCTTGGAGCAATGAATGACAAAAATATGAAAATTTTAAAAAACAATAATAAAATATAAAGAAAAATTCATTTAAAACTAGGGATGTCAATTTCAATCTACCCCGCGGATATTCATCCGAATCCACCTCATGTGAGTCGGTTTTTTTTTTTTTTTTTTTGGTAGTGGGTGATGGGTCGGGTGTGAGTCTTAAAAAATTAAACTCACGGTGGATCGGGTTGGATTCGAGTTCTATGTACAAACCCCGCCTAAAACCTCATCCGGCCCACCATGTAGTTATTTATAAGAGTTTTATAACTTTATGTAAATTTGTACTATTTTTTAAAATTAACAATTTAGTTATTATATTTAAATATTTCTATTATTTTATGTTTTAGTATAAGTAATAAATTTTATTATTTTATTATGTGTAAGTAATTTAAATATTATTTAAAAAATAAATAATAAGATTATAAGTGGTGGGTACCCGTAGTGGGCATCCGCATCTGGTGGGATTGAGGGTGGATTTTGAAAAAGTCCACCCGATGCGAATTGGGGGTGGGGATGGATGGAAAAAATATAAAGTGGGTCGGGTGATGGATGTAGCCCTCCCCAACTCACATCCGACCCATTGTCATCCATATTTAGAACATGCGGTTTCTTGTCAGAAATGTAAGTCTTAAATAAGTTTCTTTAAAATTCAAAATGATTTTTTTCGTTAAAATACAAAAAACGCTATCCTTAATCATTGTTGTTTCTCGTATTATATGAGAAATGCATGTTCCAAATAAGTTTCTTGTATCTTTAAAATTTAAAATGATTTTTTTTTTGGTTAAAATACAAAAAAACACATGTCCTTAATCATTGTTGTTTCTCGTATTATAGGAGAAATGCATGTCCCAAATGAGTTTCTTGTATCTTAACAAAAAAAAAAAAAAAAATCATTTATGAGACTGGCGTTTCTGACAAAAAAGTCCCAAATGAGTTTTTCTCTATATTATTCACTTTTTAAAACAATCATTTATGAGACTTGCATTTCTGATAAGAAAGTTCCAAATGAGTTTTTCTCTATATTATCCACTTTTTAAAACATTTTCATCTTTATCATTTTCTTCTCATTTCTTCCCATTTCAGTAATTCAGTCATTAACCCCCAGCACTCACAACCATGACATTCTTCAATTCCGTTCCCAAAGACCCATTACGAGCACATCTAACGGGTTTCTTTTCAAACTTCTCTCTCCTACAATATAGTCATGTTCTATTTTCTCCAAATCAACCAAAAACTTCCATGAAAAGTGCTCTAAAATTGTATCACATGTATATTCCTTTTTTATGCTAAAAGAAATTATACTTTTAATCCTTAAGTCATTCCCCTTTTGAAATTTGATCCCTATTTATTAAATTTGAACAAATTCAATGCTCAATTGTCCACAATATTACACATCTAGTTTGACATTTTATAATTGAAGGATTGAATGTGCACCATTATGAACAATCGAGAGATTAAGAGTATACGTACTATTTCTCTACGGATAACCGACTCAATAATTGCATGACAACAGAAACCCCAGTAATAATTACAGAGCATAAGCATACCAAATATAAATAGATTAGATTAGAAGCTGAGCTCCTAAAGTTTGTAAAGGAATTTAATGGTCACATAGGTGTTTCCAAACTTCCAGCAGTCTTTACACTATGATTACTAGACAGGTGAGCATTCTAGTTTGTATGACTAGTGTCTACCGAACTGACCCAATTGTGGGAGTATGCAGCGTGAAAACATAGGAGATGGGCACAGACAGCTGCATTTGCCTTTTGGGGATAACACCATCATCATAAAATTGCCCCAGACTTTCTTCATCAAAAGGGAATGACTCCCGGAGAAAGAAGAAACACTCCCTAGCCAACTTTTCAACCTGAAAGACCATCCATCATACACACACTGTAAATCGCACGTCTATTCAAGGAAATGAAAATAAAAACAATTTCCCATGTGCAAGTAGTGTGCAACCCACGTGCATTTCCCAAAAGAACAAAGAAAATTTGAACTACATTCGCTTCTTGAACCCGAATGCACACCCCAGATCCCAGTTCCCCTTCTCTTTGTTCCATTACCCATTGAGAGGGGTATAACACAGAGAAACAGGGGGAGAACTAGTATATTTGTCTAGGCAAAAAGGATTGCTGAAATGTAAGCATAAGCCTCCAAGTCCTCCCTTACTATGTGCAATCAAGGAGCATTAATGAGATGCCTGGGCATGAAAATGTAAAAAGTACCTGGAAATAGGAAAAGTGAATATTATTCATGGTTATGATTACTTCCACTCCATATAAGACATTTTCCAGCATCCGGATGGCTAAATGCTCGAAAAAGGCTTGTACTACGCTTTTCTGTTCTTCCAAATGTTCAGCATCAAACCTAGGAAACCATAATAAGCACTTGACATCATTCCATGGAATGGCACTCTCTCTAGAGGAGGGCATAATTGTTTGTTGAGGATGGGGAAGACCCCAGAGAACTCTAACACCAGCTGGCCTTTGGTCAAGTGTAGATTCATCTTGAAGAGAAGTGGTGGCGATTATGGAGGATGGCTTATAATGATATGCAATATTTGAAGAAAAATATAAATCTGTGTCATCCAGCACCAAGACACACCCATCTGAAGGCTCAGGAAAAAATCGCAAATAAAATGCAATATTAGTATCTTGATCTTCTGGGAGGCATGGCCCTGATTTATGGGATAAAAAAGATGGAACTGAATCATGTGAAAAGAAACATGAATCTCCGTTTCGGCAACCCTAGCAATTATGTCAACAAAACAAATTAGATACATCAGACATGGGAAGCAATAATGACATCAACAAATATTTAAATCTTAGTACATCGACCCCACTTTGCTGTTATAACCAAAACACAACAGAATGAGTACAACTTAAAATCTCCCAAAAGCAAAACCAAGGAAAGAGAGAGAATGCAAATGCACACACATACACATAAAAGGGATTCACTATAGTTGTACATGACATCAGTTTAAACATAGAACATCAACTTAACAAGCAGGCTAGTCAGGATATTGAAGCTGTTTTTGTTTGGTTTAATAACTTTGTTAATTGGAATTTGAAGACAGCAAGTAAAACATGTGGGGTGATGCTAGATCTGAAACAAGATATACCTGTAAAGAAAAGAAAAACTTGCAAACAGGCTTCTTTGCTTCTAAGGAATGAGAATATAAACATTGGCTGCCCCTATTGCACCGGCCTTTGATAAAAAATTTACAAAGTGAAGCCTCCCCAGTGATATGACCATCATGATGATCTCCAGATATATTCTCAGAAGACTGCATTCTCATCTGTTTAACAAGGAAGGAATAAGTACTGTCCACATGTCAACAGGACTCTGATTATGGAAGGAAAAGCAATACCTCTTTGACCACAGCTGCCAAACTTTTAGCCACTTCATTTTCCAAAAAATCATTTTGACCCAAAAAAGGCACAGCAGTGCACTTCCATATTTCAGGGTCTTGTTCAAGGAGTTTGTTAATAACTAATGCACCAGCAGCATCCTCATACTGATCAGACATTAGATCACATGTATGCTGAAAATTGTTTGCATAATAATAAGATGGCAGGCCATCTGAATTAACCAGAAACTCAGGTCGATACCGATGAAGAGAACCTATGATTTCATCATCTGCAAGAAAAATGTGTTCCATATAAAGGAAAACCAAATCTACAATAATAATTATAAATTTTAATAATCAGAAAACCTTACATATTTCAGCGACTTGGCGCAGTGCTGACAGAACAAGATTGTGAACTGAGCACCATTCTTCCTCGATTTTGGGAAGTAGAGTTTGTGTTTCGTCTGTTATGTCATGCTTTAAAAGCAGTGGCAACCTTTCAAGACGGTACTTGTCCTTCATTAAAAATACAAATGACTAGTGATTACATTGCGTCTCCAATCCACAAGGGTTTCAACTAGTTAGGGAAAAAAAATGATATTTTACCTTGAAAACACATTGCC